CCTGCTGGCCATTCGAAGGTAAGGCATCTCCATCGGTGTAGAAAGCATTCTGTCTTTTCGAAAGCATTTGCATGAACATGGCATGTGCTTTGGAAGGAATTCCTGGAGCCCTCTGGTTAAGGCAAATCCAGTAAGTGAAAAGTGACTTTATACAAAAAGGCTGATTCAGGGGAATCACTCACTTTTATAAAAGAATGCCTCACTTTACAAAAATACTTCCCTCCAGCATTTCCTTCTACATCGAGCCCTTGTTAGCACATTAATAACATGAGACCATTTTATAAAAATAGTGATGGCCTCATCACTTTTAGGGGCACTTCTGCTGTGGGGATGAGGCGAGTAAGGACTGGGGGGCAAGTTTACAGATGGGGGCAAGACTTCAGCTGTTATTGGCAAGGACCCTTTGTCCCCCAGCACATCTATGTTCCAGCAGCCCCAAGTGTTACCAGCTGAAACCTCCTGAGACCCCTGGGAGACAGCTGTGGGCAGGGATGCCATCATGGATTTCATAAGAGGGAGGGAAATCCCGGCTCTGAGAGCCTGAGTGACTCATCCAAGGTCACCAGCCAGTCAGTGGGCAGGCTTGGGGCCCTCCCTGCTGGCAACCCTGCTCTAGCATGCTGGGATGTTTAAAAGCTCAAAAGTCTCTTCCTCCAGAAGCTCAATTCTCCTCCCCTTGAGTGTGGGCTCAACACTAAGGTAGAAAACAGAAAGGGAAATGTAGTAACTTTACCGGAGAGAAACCTCACAAATACCACCTTACTGAACGTTAACACCCAGGTTAACATCACCAGTAATAAAATGATTGCTGTCATGTGCCCCTGGATACGATGTGCTAAAAGGCACATCATCTCTATAATACTCTTCTTAAACCCTGTAACTTTGGTTTGATTATGAGAAAACATGCGTCAAATTCAAATGCAGGGACAATCTGCAAAATACCTGACCGCTGCTCTTTAAAAGCGTCAAGGTCATAAAAGTCAAGGAAAGACTGAAAAATGGTCACAGACTAGAGGGGACCAAGGACACATGAAGAGCTAAATGTAACATAGGATCACAGATGGGACCCTGAAACAGAAGACCGACATTAGTGGAAAAACTGGAGAAATCTGAATAAGTCTGTAAGTTTAGTTAATAGTATTGTACCAGGGTTAATATCTTAGTTTTGATAATGTACCATATTTATATAAGGAGATAATATTAGAGGAAGCTGGGTGAAAGGCATATGGGGACTTTGTACTGTCTTTGTACCTCTTCTGTAAATCTAAAATTTTATTTTCAAAGTTTTCCTCTTGTTTAAAAAAATTGTTTTTAATGTTTATTTTTGAGAGAGAGAGAGAGAGAGAGAGAGAGAGAGAGAGAGAGAGAGAGACACAGAGCATGAGCGGGGGAAGGGCAGAGAGTGAAGGAGACACAGAATCCGAAGCAGGCTCCAGGCTCTGAGCTGGCAGCATAGAGCTCGACGCGGGGCTCGAACGCACAAACCGTGAGATCGTGACCTGAGCCAAAGTCGGACGCTTGACCGATTGAACCACCCAGGTGCCCTTCCTCTTGTTTTTACAGTCCAGTGGTGACCTACGTGCTCCTGCCTTTGGGGAAGGCAGGCAGTACTGTGGCTGGGTGCACATTTGGCCAGCCTGGGAAGTTTTGGCTGCTTCTGGGGAAAGAGCTGCACCCCACTCTCTAAATTCTGCACAACACCACACGACCCATCCCCTCTTCTGAGATGAGCCCAGCTGCTGGTTGGAGTGTGACTGTGCCCAGGGGATGTCAAGGAGGCTCAGTCAGACAGCTGGGCCAGCTGAACTAGGGAGGAAAATGAACACAATCTCTATGGATGCAGGACTCAAGATGCTTCTCAGAATGATTTTCAAGGCTTAGGGAATCTCATGATTCCAGAACCCAAAGGTAATCAGCCATAATCTATTAACCACACTTGTCAATGTCATGACCATATGCGATGGTCAAAAGGAGAGGAAGGGACCCTAAGAGTTTCATGGTTCTATGGGGTTGGGGCGGAATCAGAGTTTCTTGCCCATTCTGAGAAGCTCTAAAGACGGCCACCAACAATTTCTTCTTGTCAGGTTGTGAACACAGCTCAACCCATCAAGCAACAATCACTGGGGGGGATCTCTTTTCTCCTATCCTTGAATCCGAATTGGATTTTGATTTGCTTTGGCCAAAAGAATGTGGCAGAAGTGGTGGTCTAGCCTTTAAGAGTCTGGCGGCTTCTATATTTTCTCTCAAAGCCAGCTCTGACACCCAAGACCACTATGCTGTGAAGAAACCTGAGTTAGCCACGAGGAGAGGCTAAATAGAGGAACAATATGAGTGAATGAAAGCTTGATCGTTCCAGCCCAGTTCAACTGATGTACAAAAAAGAAGAATCGCCCTGCTGATCCCACTCAGTTCACAGAACCAGGGGAAATAACAGAATATTGTTCTTGTAAACCACTAAGCTTCGGGTTGATTTGTCACACGGCAATGGATAACTAAAACACTCACTGATGTGCTTGTTCTGCTTTTCCCTAAACTTTTATACTTGTTTTCATACATTCCGATGCTTCTTTAAACTCAAGGAGTCAGAATAAATGGAAAGGTATGCCTCATTTACATAAAGTTGTGAAATAAGGAATTGGATGTCAGACTATGCTATTTCTCTGTTCCTATGCTCCATCCTGCCTTCCCATCTCACCTTGGACAAAAGCCATGCTATCAATATGGCACGTAAGAGCCCTTATGATCTCTTCTCTACCCCTTGCCTCGCTGACCTCGACCTCAACCACTGCTTGTGCTTGATATTCCTTGACTATGAAGGATACGTGGACATCAGGACCTTCGTGTTTGCTCTTCCTGTGCTCGGAATGTTCTTCTCCTAGGTGTATCCATGACTTTCTCTTTATTGCCTTCAAGTCTTTACTCAACCGTGACCTTGTAATGAGATCTTTCCTAACCTGATTGGAAATTGCTACTCTCCCCTTCTTTGACCCACTTATCCCCCTTTTTTTTCCTCCATAGCATTTAATGCCACTTAGCATATTGCATATTATTATTCAACAAACATTGTTTGTGGTCATCTTTCTTTAGTAGAACCTCTGCTCCAAGAAAGCAGAGGTTTTTGCTTGTTTCAGGCACTGCTATGAATCCAGAACTTAAATCTGCATGTGGCACAAAGTTGACATTCGCTACATCTTCATTGGACGGGTGAATGAATTTTCTAAAACCCAGAGCCTCAAACCTGGATGGTTGAGGCTGACGTGTGGAGGACAGTCTCACTTACTGGCAAAGGATGGCATTGCCGTTCGGCTCTGTTAGGCAAGAAAGAATCACAAGAGTAGTTAGGAGACCCTCAAGCCAGAGGTCGGCAACCTCTTTCTCTAAAAAGCCAGATAGTAAATATTTCAGGCTGCATGGGCCATATGGTCTGTATCACAAACAACTCTGTGTCATTGTAGTGTGAAATCAGTCACGGGCAACGTGTAAACAAGTGATTGTGACTTATGCTCCAATTAAACTGTATTTATGGGCACTGGAATTTGAACTTAATTTTGCATTATGTGTCACAAAATACTATTATTTTTCTGATTTTTTTCAATGATTTAAAATGTAAAAAACCATTCTAGACTTGCAGGTCACACAAAATTAGATGGTGGAGCCGATTTGGGCTGTTGTTTTCTGACCAACACTATTAACAATCTCCAAGTGACTCAAAGTGTGGGAGAAGAATTCAATTTCCAGGGAGACTAGCCAGAAGATTATTCATTTTTAAAGACGTATTATTTGTAATATGACTTCATGAATATTCATGGTGATTTTTGCATTCTAGGTAATTTTATAGCCAATATGCCTGGGTGGGAAAGCACAGGGCAGTAGCCAAGTGAGAAGAGCCAATCTTTAGGCTGGGTATGCCAAATCCACTAACCCATACTTCCTCCCTCTGAGAAAGAGAGAGCCCCACGTGGGAGGAAGGAATGGCAGGCAATCATAGATAGGGTGACACAGGAATCAGGCTGATAAAGGTGTTAAGCCTGTGACTTTGTTTCTTGTGTGGGCCAGTTAGCTCTTGACTGAAGTCTGCACCTCTGGCCCCAGGAGCCTGTCTTGTGTAGGTTGGAAAGGTGGGCAGGGGGGAATCTCACAGGAGGAGCATTTCCAACCCAATGCCTTTCTGACCACGGGAGAGGTGAGCCATTTTACTCATCAAAACATCAGACAGTGTTAATGTCTCTGGCCAAGGTGCTGGACTTTGTGATCTCTGGAGGTGTATTGTGGGAGGGACAGGACAAGAGATGACAAGATGTCACTTTGGACTGAAAAAGGATATATTGGGGAAAATGGTAGAATGAAAAAATTCCAAACATATACAGAAGTAGAGAACAAAGTAAACTAAGCCCCTAGTTACCCCATCACCCAGCTTCAAGGGCTGTCACCTCATAGCCAAACCTGTTTCATCCATAGCCCAACCTTAGATGATTGGAGCAAATTCCAGATATCATGTCATTTCATTAGGCAAAGGCTATTTTGATTACACAGGAATTCATTATTTAGAATGCTAAAACTACTCAAAATTCATTTAGAAAAGTGAAAAAATAAGCAAAAGAAAAGCAACAAAAATAATCCATGTTTTTACCACCAAGAGGTAATCATTGTTAGCCATTTTTCCTTCTATTTTTTAAAGAACAAAAAAGTATCTTACTATACATAGCTTTAGGAGCTTGATTTTCCCCCTCCTTGATATAGCTATGACACATCTTTCCATGTTAATAAATATACATTTACATTATAGCTTTTTGGGGGGCTGGGTACAGTATACTTTATTGACTGTACATGACAAGGTAGGTCTCCCCAAGTCCCTCCTTCTTCAGAGGGTCTAGGATGGAAACTGTAGAGGTTGGGAGATTATCAGCGTGTTGGGGGATGAGTTGGGGCAAGGACTCCCCAGCAACTGAGGGCCTCTCTCTTCCTCTTGCTCTCGCTGGGGCTGGTGGTTCAGGGGGCTCTTACTCCTTGGAGGCCCTGGGGACCATAACGTTGCTGTAGCCAAATTCATTGTCATACCAGGAAATGAGCCTGACAAAGTGGTCATTGAAAGCAATGCCAGCCCCAACATCACAGGTGGAGGAGTAGGTGTCTCTGTTAAAGTTGCAGCAGACAATCTGGTCCTCAGTGTAGCCCAGGATGCCCTTGAGGGGACCCTCTGATGCCTGCTTCGTCACCTCTTTGATATCATCATGTTTGGCAGCTTTCTCCAGGCAGCAGGTCAGATCCATGACTGACACATTGTAGGTGGGGACAAAGAAGGCCATGCCAGTGAACTTCCCATTCAGATCAGGGATGACCTTGCCTACAGCCTGGGCAGTGCCAGTATAAGCAGGGATGACATTCTGGGCAGCCATTATGCCGCAGCTCCCCAGAGGGGCCATCCATGATTTTCTGGGTGGCGGTGATGGCATGGACTGTGGTCATGAATCCTCCCACAATGCTGAAGTTGTCATAGATGACCTTGGCCAGAGGGGCCAAGCAGTTGGTGGCGCAGGAGGCGTTGCTGACAATCTTGAAGGAGTTGCCATACTTCTCACGGTTCACACCCATCACAGACATGGGGGCATCAGCAGAAGGGGCAGAGAGGATGACCCTCTTCATCCCACCTGTCAGGTGAGCTCCAGTCTTCATGGTGGTGGAGACCCCAGTGGACTCCACAGCACACTTAGCACCAGCATCAGCCCATTTGATGTTGGTGGAATATCGCTCTGGGAAGATGGAGATGGGCTTTCCATTAATGATGTGTCCCATTCTCAGCCTTGACTGTGCCGTGGAATTTGCCATGGGTGAAGTCATAACAAAACATGAAGGCCATGTAGTTGAGGTCAATGAAGTGGTCACTGATGGCAACAATATCTACTTTTCCAGAGTTAAAAGCAGCCCTGGTGACCAGGCATCCGATACGGCCAAATCCGTTTACTCTGACCTTCACCATTGTGTCTTGGGGACACTGCTGGCCCTGCACCAGAAGATGTGTCTGTCTAGTGAATGGGGAGGACCAGAGTGCATTACAGTTCTTAATGGCTCTGTATGTATCCACAATGTGATGCTTCCTTATTCTTAAAACCATGTCCTTATTGGTGTGTATTTAGGTTAATTAAAAAATTTTGACTATTATAATTACCTTGTAATAAACATTTTTGACCAGATATCTCGTACCCTTGTTTGATCATTTCCTTTGGATGAATTACAAGAGGTAGAATTCCTAGGGCCAAGGCCTCCACATATTTAGAGATTTTTATTCATATTGCCAAGATGCTTTCTAGTACGGTGACACTAAGGTCATACCAAGTAAACCAGGAATGCAGAAGAGCGCCTGTTTGTCGCATCCTCACCAGCAGGGAGTATTGATATTCTTCTAGCCTTTGCCAATACGATCGGTTGAAAAATGTATCTTGTCATTTTCATTTGCATTTCTTTGATCACTAGGGAGGCTATTTTGAAAATGTTGGCTGGCCGAATTTTTTGATTTATTTTTTAAATTTATTATGGAAATTAAAAAAAAACATAAATGCAGAGACCAATCCCTCTGTAGCCATCACCCCACTTCAACATTTACAACATGTGGCCAGTCGTGCTTCGCTTACATCATCCTCCTTCCCCTTCACATACATGACATATACACCACATTGTTTTATTTAAAAAAGTATTTTTAATTTTTTAAATTTGAGATAGAGAGGAGAGCATGAGTGGGGGAGGGGGCAGAGGGAGGGGTGGGGGGAGAGAGAGAGAGAGAGAGAGAGAGAGAGAGAGAAAATCTCAAGCAGGCTCCACTCTCAGTGCAGAGCCGGATGCGGGACTCAGTCCCATGACCCATGACTCGCTACCCGAGTAGAAATCAAGAATCTGTCACTCAACCAACTGAGTCACCCAGGGGCCCCTATACCACATTATTTTAAATCAAATCTCAAGCATCATATCCATTATACATTTTCAGTATACATACTAAATGCAAAAGGATTCTTTATTTTGTTATCACAGAGCTGTGATATTACTACCAAACTTAAAAATAACAATAATTGGGGTTGCCTGAGTGGCTCAGTTGGCTAAGTGTCCAATTCTTGATCTCACCTCAGGTCTTGATTTCAGCGTCATGAGTTCAACCCTGTATTGAGCTCCATGCTGGGTGTGAAGCCGACTTAAAAAATAATAATAATAACATAACAATAATTTGTTAATACACCCGCAAGTATCCAGTGTTCAGATATGTTTGTTTCATGTTTGTTTGTTTATTTAAAAATTTTTCTTTAAATCTTCATTTATTTCAGGGGCGCCTGGGTGGCTCAGTCAGTTTCTCGCGGTCCGTGAGTTCGAGCCCCACGTCGGGCTCTGTGCTGACAGCTCAGAGCCTGGATCCGGCTTCAGATTCTGTGTCTCCCTCTCTCTCTGCCCCTAACCCACTCGCATTCTGTCTCTGTCTCTGTCAAAAGTAAATAAACATTAAAAAAAATTTTTTTTTAAATCTTCATTTATTTTTGGGAGAGAGAGCATGAGCAGAGGAGGGGCAATGAGAGAGGGAGATGCAAAATCGAAAGCAGGCTCCCGGTTCTGAGCTCTCAGCACAGAGCCCGGCACGGTGCTCCAACTCATGAACCATGAGATCATGACCTGAGCCAAAGTCCGACTCTCAGCTGATTGAACTACCCAGGCACCCCTGTTTATTGTTTAATAGTTGGCTTGTTTGAATGAGAATCTAGTAAAGGTCCACACTTTTAACGTTTTTATTTATTTTTGGGACAGAGAGAGACAGAGCATGAACGGGGGAGGGGCAGAGAGAGAGGGAGACACAGAATCAGAAACAGGCTCCAGGCTCTGAGCCATCATCCCAGAGCCTGACGCGGGGCTCGAACTCACGGACCGCGAGATCGTGACCTGGCTGAAGTCGGACGCTTAACCGACTGCGCCACCCAGGCGCCGCAGGTCCACACTTTTAAATGTGGTTGATATGTCTCTGAAATCTGTCTCTGTTACTTTTTTATTAGATTTGAGTTTATGTTTTAAGTAAACTCTGTCCCCAATGTAGGGCTCAAACCCATAATGTGGAGATCAAGAGTTGCTTGCTCTACTGACTGAGCCAGTCAGGCTGCCTTCTTTTTTATTGAATTGAAACGCACCTAACATACAAGTAACCATTTTAAAGTGTATAATTCAGCAGCATTTAGTGCATTCATGACGTTGTGTAACGGTGACCCCTCTCTAGTTTCCAACATTTTCATCACCCCAGAAGAACGTCCTGCACCCTTCAAGTAATTATTTCCCTTCCCTTCCAGCCCCCAGACGCTCCACTCTCATTTTGTACTTTGAAAGTCATATTGTTAGTATTAATATCTATGTTATTATTTGGAAATCATTCCCAATATATCAAATGAGTAATCATGTTAGTGTTCTTAGGAACCAAGATTTTCACCATCAAAGAAATAAATATGTAAAATCAAGTAAGTTAAAATTGGATATCCAGTATAAGTTAATGATGTAGTTTCCCTTAAAAAAATATTTTCCAATGCTTTCCACTTAAATTCTTAGAAACAACGACCAATCCAACCGCCAAGAAAACTCCATTTTTCCAGACTGTGTTCTAGAAATACCATTTCTCACTAAGACTAGGGGTCTCTGGATAAAGACTGATGTCTGGTCTGGGGCAAGAAATTCATACAGGTTTGTTTTTTTTTTTAATTTTTTACTGTTGATTTCTTTTTGAGAGAGAGAGGCCACAAGTGGGTGAGGGGCAGAGAGAGAGAGAGCGGGACAGAGGGTCCAAAGTGGGCTTAAGAGCAGAGAGCCTGATGTGGGCTCGAACTCACAAACTGCGAGATCATGACCTGAGTAGAAGTCAGACACTTAACTAACTGAGCGACCCAGGCACCCTAGGTTTTTGATACACATTTATGTGAATATATGAGTATATATGGTTTGATATTTACCTTGCAGTGATGATTTAATGCCACTGGCACAAAAAAATCATATTGTTTGCATCTGAAAAAGTTACAACGTCAGTATGTATTTACTCTTTTCTTTTTAAGATTACTTTGGAAATGTTGGTATGGGGTTAACACTCCTCACTGACGCGGATAAATAAAGCCATAGATTGAAATTAGAAGTATCAGTGTAGACGCTCGGCAGAAAACACCACACTGTTGATGGACAAGTCCTGGGTAATCATAACCTCAACAATTTATTGCGTAGATAAAGGCTCAACCTGCTGTAAAAGGAGAGCTCTCAAAGAAGTCCTGCGAAGACTGCGTCTTTTTACAATTACACACAGACATAACAATGATTCCAAGGCTGTTTTCCATTAGGTCTGGTTGAGGCATGGTACCACCTTCTGTCGGAGCCAGACCGAGTTCTGGGACTGCCTCGGAGGCACGGCCTTGCCTACCCACCCCTGAAATGATGCCTCTTCTCTCAGGTCTCTCGGTGTCTTCAGAGACCCTATGAAGTGGCTTCAAGTAGAGACGGGTTTTTTATAATGTGTGTGCCATCTCAAGGCAAGAAATGACCCTATGACTCAATAACCAAGGCAGTTACCCTCTATTCTCCATCGGCTGTGGCCCAGTCTGTGTTCTCTTTTGTCTGTTATTTCTTCTTTGGGTGTCTAGGATCACTTGCACATCTCAGCTGCTTGTTTATTTCTCTTTTCTTGGTCATCAGCTTTGCTGCTTCCTAATCGCTTGCCCGTGATTCCCTGATGGGTGCCACAACGCGTCAACCTCAGTCCCTGTGTCAGTGTGTCCTGTCGGCTCAGCTCCCCAGAGATAACTGATTCGTTCTTAGTGCTTCACGTGCAAGTTCCTGGGGAAGACGACCTGATGAGCTCAGTTTGGATTAAATGGCTGGAGGTGGGGTGGAATCGTCTGGTACTTGGGCTTTGTCTCCAGGGTGTCTGTCCCTATAGAATTGTCCATTAGGAAGAGTCTGTGGGGAGTGGGTGTGGGAGGGACAGGGAGGAAATGATCGGTATCTCTAGTTGAAGGCACAAGGAAGAACTCAGCAGGAGGATGGATGCCTTCCTCCTATTCCTTGGTAATTGGGCCCTGCCATCTTGTTACCACTGAGAACCATCCTTCTGGGATGTTGGACCCAAAGGTCTTTTCCTATCGTCCACGTTCTTCCTTCTGCTTGGATAGTCTCTTTTTTCACTTAACGTTTTGTCTGCCCACCCTCTCACCCTTTAATAAAATAAGTTCAGGTCTCACCTCCTCCAGGAAGCTGCCCTGATAACCTCCAGATTAGATTGTTTGAACCACCTTGGTATTCACCTGGTCACCAGGGTAGGGCTCATTTAATGCACTGTAATTAATGACCTCTTTATGTGTCTGTTCCGTTTGCTTGACTATAAACTCTTGAGGCTGGAGCTACGTATCCATGCACCTTTGTCTCTTGGAAACAGGACAACATGGCAATGAAAGCAAAGGTGCTGAAATTGCACAGACTAGGGTTCAAATTCCAGGGCTTCCACTTGTTATCCAGGTGATCCGGGACAAGTGCTCCGCTTCTTTATGTCTCAATGTCCCCATCCGTAAACTGGGGCATTGTGGTAGAAAGCCATAGTGTGGTTGGAAATATGACACGAGAGAGCGCGGGCAAGGAACTTAGCACCGGGCTTGGATAGTATAAAGGCTCCATAAGTGGTGGCTTTCTGTTATGCACGAACGTTTGCTTAGAACCAGAAAGACGTTGTCTACGGTGCAAGTCACAGCGGGGAATATGAAGACGAGGAAGACACAGGCTTACCCTGCAGGAACTCACAGCTAGGAGGGGAGGGATGGGTGGTGAGGAACAAGTCTACCTTGGGTTTTTCTTGAATTCTGAAGGCTTCTACCATGAAGGCATCTTTGGCAGAGACATCTTTTATTTGACAGAAGCCTCCCGCCAACACACAGGAAAGCAAGAGCAAGACGGCAGCCATGACACCCATCATCCTGTAAGCATCCTTTAGGATTAAAGACGTTGAAGACGTAGACACTAACACTGACAACAGGCGTTGTGCTGTGCGCGGGCCCG